GTTCTTCGCTATCTCCATAGAATTACTCTTGCAAACATTGAAGATAGCTCGAAGAAAGGATCAGATAGGAGATGTGGTAGAGGAACCTGTGGAGGGTGCCAAAGCTGGAGGTGGAACTCTGGAAGATCCACTCGGTGCTTTCCCTCCCCTAGGACGGACAGTGCAACACCCCGTTTCTTTAATTAACTATAGCTGTGATTAACACATGCATTAGTGCATAACTGCATTGCATAGTCATGAAAAACTTTAAAATTTATTCAAATTCAACTCAAATGTGTTTATAAAAATTCAAAAGTGAAATTTGAATTTCGAAACTAGCTTGAGAAGCCTTTAAAATAAATTCAAGACTTTAATTGTAAGAAAACCTAGAAAATTGTCCTATTTAAAACTTTCTTAAAGTTAATGGTTTTGTTTGAAATCAAACCTTGAAAATAAATATTTTAACACACCCTATGTTACTAACCTACAATTAAGCTTAAACAGGAGATTTAATAAATTTAAATTGCATGGGTTGAGCATTAAAAAGTTTAAAATTTGAATAAGTGTAGTGTAAATAATATTCAAAGAATTTGTTTAAATTCAAAAGTTAGGTTTAAATTCAAAGGTATTTTAAATTGAGAGATCAAAATTTATTCCAAAATTTTGAAACCTTATTGTTCCAACCGGGCCCTTTTCTTTTATTTTTCCAGCCCAACTCCATTTCTCTCCTCTTTTATTTCCTGCACAGGCCAGTCTTCCCCTTTTCTTTTTCCTCGACCCACTTCTCATTTTTCTCGCGCTGGCCTGCCTGGCTTCGCCCACGCGAGCGCGCCCCGGCCCACTGCACCGCCCCGACCCAACTCCCACGCGCTCGCCCAGCCCACGCGCCATGCCGACCTCCCCGGTCGTTTTCCTCCCTCTCTCGTTGTCTCGCCCGAAGCCACCCGAAGCTGCTCGACGTCACACCGCGCCGCATTGACCTCACCCTCTGAACCCGACCCAGCCCTGCGCGCCGCCACTGCTCTGCCATGTGTCCCACCGTCGTACCATGTCACTGCACGCCACTCTCTCACACCCCCCAATTCTTGTTTTACCGTGGTGCCGGAGGGTGTAGAAAAATCAAAATTCACCTCCCCACCTTGGCTATAAAGCCGAAGGCCACCGCCATTCACTTCTCCCTTCCATCGTCGACCTCCTGAGCCAATTAATCGAGCCAAACCACCAGAAAATAGCCCCAATTTTGCTTTTTCCCCAACTTCGATCCGCCGCCGCCATTAGAAATCTTCCGAGCTTCCCGGTGAGTCTCCCTTCGATTCTTTCCATTTGAGTAATTCCCTTAAGCCGTAGAAGCTTCCTGGGTAATCAATTTTGTGGGCGCATTATTGTGGTGAGCTCTACACGTGTGAGTGCTTCGCCCTGCCGCCTGCGCACATCGCCGGCCGCCGATAACGCCGCTCCGACTACGCCGCCTGCACCTACACCAACTCGGCACGCGCATGAAGCCCCCCGACCACTTAAACCCCTCGCCAATAGCCTCCCACGCCCTCCGCTATCTCCCGCGCCCGGCGCCCACTCGGCCACCCCTAGCCGCCATCGTAGCCGTCCTCCGGCGAGGCCACCTACCCTCATGGATGCGTCGTACTCCACCTCACCCCATCCGCCACTTGCCGCCCACTCCGACGAAATGCTTGCCCCAGACTCCCTACTCCACCGCCATGGTATCGGTCCATGGTGGACGGCCTCCCAACTCCCCTCTAGTCCCTAGTCCACCGCACCTTAGCCCCCTACCCGTGGATCATTTGTGGCTACACAAGATCGCGTGTGGCCATCCCTATAACCCAACATCTGGCTCAGTTCTAATTGGATGAGATGCATTTTTTTCAAAATAGCCCCTGCCTTTTATCCTATTTAGAAGCACTATTTTCTGTGTCTTAGTAAACCCACGTAGAGGCCCTAGAACTTTAGGAATTTCACAGAAATAACCTTGGCCCATCTAAAATGTCGTTTTAAAATTTCAGAAATTACTTGGAACTTTGAAAATACTTTAATAATAGTTCTTTTGCTCAAAATTTTCCAAATCTTTTTCTGTGAACTAGTAATAAGTATATCTACATGTTAGCACAATAAATTTTAGATGGTAATACTACTGTTTTTATAAAAAAATTCATATAAGTTTAATACCTTTTAATTTGTATAAAATAAGTTAGCGCTAGAAAAAGTATAAGAAAATACACATAAAACCCTCCTTACATGTAGGTTCCAATAAAAATACTTTCATAAGTTGGAATATATGTTTATTATAACAATTAAGTTTTCTTGTATAATAATTTAGAAGAATTATTATAAATAATCTGTTCATGAGTTTTAATTTAAATTTTGATAGAAACTAAATCTCTTAGGTGTGTATCTCTAGAAAAAGTTTCAACCTTAGAAAACTTATGCAACTATTTAAATTGAATTTAATTCAAATCTTACTTAGTAATTTAATTAATTAAAATAATTTTTGAATTCCAAAAATTATTCAAAAATTATATTTAAATGCTTTACATTAATAATGAGTTAGGAAAACTATTAAACTTAATTATTCAATTTTTAATTATTAAACATCTTTGCAAAATTGAATTTCAAGTCAAATTCAAATTTAGATTCAAATTCAAATCCATTTCCAACTCATGCATTAATAAACCTTGCATAAGCATGCATATACCTACATCCAGAGTTGACAAATAGCTTGTGAGAGGTAGTTATATGTTATGATGGAACTATTAGAAACATATGCATCTAAAACCTTATTCATTCAACTTACACACTCATAACAATTGCGTTGCACACACCTACCTGCGTACGTCCCCGCGCTAACCGCCTACGCATTTGCGCCTACCGACGTATGGTGAGATCCGCATGGGTGCGGTTGCCTCCGGTCATGGCGCTAGTATCGCCGGCGACGTCGTCTCTGGCATCGGGTCATCCGTGCAACGGTGGAGAACGCCGTTCCGATCGGCAACGAAGACCCAGGAGCCAAAAATGAGCGAGGCGCCTTCGTCGAGCTTGGTGACGATGAAAGCGCGAAGTGATGCCATCGAGATCAACGGTGGATTCTCGGTGAGTGGCCCCACGGTGGGCGCCAAATGTCGGTGTTTTATACCGGCTGGGTTCTTGAGGGGGTACCATGAGAGTTAAGGTGTGACGCTAAGTCGTCGAGAACCAAGAACTCAAAGGTGACAAGAGACTTTAGACAGGTTCAGGCTGCAATATGCGTAATACCCTATGTCCTATATTGTTTCTTGTATTGATATGTTGTAGATTCCTGTTTTGGAGGGGTCCCTGTCTCGCCTTATATATCCGACGGACAGAGTTACAAAGGAAATCTGAATAAGAGAAGTTTTGTACAAATACAATTCAACTATCCAATCCTAACCGAAATCTTTAAGTCTTGTACCCAGGCCGGCCCACGATCATAGGGTGGCCCAGCCGGGGTTCTTTTATCCATGAGGATAATCTACCGACAAGCCCCTGAGCACTTGATCACCTTGAAGTACAGTCTTGTTGTGAGTCTTGAAGTCTTACGGAATTGTTTATGAATTCAACCGAAGTTCTTCTGAAATCATCCGACCTTCACTGGAAGCAGTCGGAGTACTTTCGAAGTTATCCGACCTACTCTGGAAGCAGTTGGAGTACTTTTGAAGTTATCCGACCTACTCTGGAAGCAGTCGGAGTACTTTTGAAACCAACCGAAGTTCTTTCCTTAATAATTGGAATTCTTCTTGCAACTAATCATGAACTCACAACCAGTCTGGGCAAAAGGTATGATGTGCTCAAGAACATCTTTAAAGAATTTCCATTGGTGCGCACTGAACAAGTGCACCCAATTGGGCAGCCCCCGAGCCTCGTTTTGCTTTGAAGAAGGAACTCGAGGTTCTGCATTGAATTTGTCTTTGAAGAAGCCCAATTTTCGAAGAATCCGAGTTCTTTTGAACTCTGGCGAAGCCTTTCAAGATCAAACCATAACCAATTTTTTTTTGAAGAATATTCAAGATATACCCGCAGCCCCCGAGCCTTGATTCAATTCCAAGAAATCAAGTCAAGGATCAAGATCTGAGGTGCTTTGAAGAATACCCAAAGAAGAAATCCAATAAATAGCAGAAAAATAGGTCAAGCCGCAAAAGCTCGAAACCTAGATCTCCCCATATTCATCGAAAAGCCATCAATTTGGTTAGAAGCCGAACCGTTTCTGACCGAGATCAATATAAGCGGTTCGCTTTCCCCTCAATCCGCACGCACTCAGTACATTTGAAGCAAGTGCCGTTGAAATCTAGGGTTAGCAAGTGCAATCAAATCCTCTCTGTGAGCACTTTGATCCAGAGCCCCCCCCCCGAGCGAAGATCGTCCATTCCCCGCTCAAGATGGCCGAAGACAGCAGTTCCTAGAGTGGCGGCGCTGCAGAACAGAACAAGGGCAAGGAGAAGGTCGAAGAAATGCAATTGATCCCTAGATGCTCTTGGAAGCCGTCCAAACTCACCAAAAGGCAGATTCAGTCCTTGGAGCGGAAGGATTTCTCCAGAAGCATTTGATCGGATGGAGATGTGCCCTGGGTCATGAGAGTCCTTTCGAGGAGACCAAAGAACTTACGGTATTCAAATCTTTCTTCGAATGTGGTTTCGGAATCCCCACCTCGGACTTCTTTAGAAGCATCCTTAATTTCTATCAGATAGAGCTCTGTCATCTGACCCCCAATTCCATCCTCCACATTTCTATGTTTATTCATCTCTATGAAGCCTATTTGGGGATTGACCCCCATTTCCATCTTTTCCTGCCATTTCTTTCACCTAAAAGCTATTCTTGACGATAATAACCCGAAAGTGGTTGGGGGAGCTTTATTCCAATTTAGACAAGGGACGAAGAACAAATATATCCCCTATTCCACCCAAGATCTTTCCAAAAGTGATTGGCACCAGGATTGGTTCTATGTCGCCAATCACTTACTAAAATTAGGGCCAAGAACCGGGCATCCTCCAGTAAAGATGGTCCAGTGGAGCAGCCCTCTCAACAAGAATGATGAAACTCAGATCCCAGATCTGCTTGAGTTGATCAAGGGTGTGAGAGAGAAAGGATTAACAGGAGCCCGGGTGTACATCAGCTTTCTCTGGAGAAGAATCCAGCCTATCAAGCAGCGGTGTACTCCAGGCTATTTATACCAGAGGGCCAATGAACCATCCCGCAACCTGCCAGAGGAATTCCCCACTAGCAGGGCCTTGTTGTATACGAAGAAGTATTTAGGCGTATCCACAAGCCCTGAGGCGGTAGCAGAGTACTTCATAGGGAATCCGCCACTAGAGGTAAATATTATGTCCTCTCTGCCGAGTTCTTGTCCGCAATTCTAAGTAGTAATCTAACTTGCATTGCCTTTTGATGAAACAGGATCGAACAAATTTATATGTGAGTCCTGCTCCATTAGATCCGAATGCGGTGGAGGACTATGTCAGGCTCACCAGGATCGCTGGAGAGGTACCCCACCTGTTTCGAAATAAGCAAACATCTGATGAATCTGATGAAGAAATTGAAGATTATTTTCCATCTTCATCGGATGATGAACAGAAGAAGTCCGGAGGCAAGGCGTCGAAGGATAAAGAAGAATCTTCATCCACCCCGAAGCGTCCGGCCGAGGCAGGGATTATAGCCCCTGTGCCCAAGCGCGCCCGTACTGCTCATCCGAGGAGAACAGCGCCTAAAGACATAGTGCGGCCATCCGCAGTCGAAGAACAAAGTATCCAACAGGTCGACTCTGAGGAGATGATCGATGAGGTATGTACCCAAACCAGTGTAGCCAATTAAGGTAACCAATAATAAGTTTCAATTGGTGATATAACCACCTTGTCGTAGGATGTGCTTCCTTTGGCGAGTGCGCCGAGTGTGGAGAGAGAGGAGACCACCCAGGCGCCGGTGAAGAACTCCGCCCAAGAGCAGAGTGAAGCCGGACTAAAGCCGGGTTCATCCAAACCTTCCACAACTCATCAAGCGTCTGAAGCCGAAGAAATGGTTATGAAGGCGCCAAAGCTACCAATTCGTCGTCCTCGACGGTAAGAGAAATCTTTTTGTAATACCGAAGTTGGTATCTGTCTATCTGTACTACAGACTAACAAGTCCACTGAAAAACAGAGTATCCACCAAGGGAACTCCTACAACTCTGAAGCCAGCTGCAGAAATCCAAAAGAACCCCAATGAGGGAAGATCTCAAGAATCTGCTGCACCAGAATCGAGGGAGGGTCCCCAGATTATGGGTGATGATGCAGGAGAGCCCCAGAGCTGCCCTATGGAGCCTGAAGTCCAAGCTGAGTCCACTGTCGTAGAAGAAAATGCATTTCCAGTACCCGCAGCTCAACAAGAAGAAACACCTACACCAGCAGTGGCATCATCGAGCATACCCACGAGGGAGAGTACTCCGATTGAAGAGATTGAAGAAATACCCCGAGTACCATCCTCAGTCCGAAGGGAAGAGCTGCCGATGGCAGAAGGTGACTTCCGCATCGACTACTATAACCCCGACGACAGGGCAGAGCCACCAACGGAGTTCGACCTTGTATACCATGAGGCAGAGGCTGAAGACAATATACAAGAACTCCGCAATCTGATGAAGCGCGCCTCAGAGTATACTGAAGTAAGTGATTCTTCCCAAAAGCCAAATAATAATTGCATTATCGGAGTACTTTTACTGATCCGTTATTCAATCTTGTAGAAAGTTGCCAATGAATCTATCCAAAAGACAGAATTCATCCGCAGGATGACCATCTACCACATGAAGGCAGAACGGCTAGAGAAAGAGCTAGAGCGAGAGCGGGCGAAGTTCCAAGAATAGTCCCAACAAGATCGGCAGGCAATATCTACACTTCACGCCTATACACGGACGTTGGAGGTGGAGAAAGCCAAACTGAAGATGGACAATACCGCGCTCCACAAAGAGAAAGCCAGTAAGTCACAACCCCTGTCTTCGAATCATCTTCACAATAAGAACTCCTCCAATGACCAGTCGTTGATGACCATAGACGCAATAAAAAGGATTGAGCAGCTGGAAGGTATCATCACAGAATGGAAAAATGTTGCCTACCGCCGTGAAGCCCAAGCAGAGGAACTATATCAAGAGAAGGAGCACATAACAGTGGAACGAGACAAGGCCATACGCGTGAACTCTGATGCCGAGAAGGAGCTGGTAGAACTCATGCAAAGAGTGAAAAACCAACATGCTGAGATTGAATTGCTCAAGGAGGGTAAAGCCGCAGCAGACGAAGAACTACGCAATCTGAAGGCAAGTAAAACCGTAGTGAATGAAGAACTTCAAAAGTTGAAAGAACAGAATTCCCAACTCAAAGTTGCGGTAAAGCCCCTGGTCAACGCACTAGTCCCAGAAAAGAACCCTGCAAGGCCTGCCTCATTGCTTGATCGACTCCGAGAAGCGCCCAGGAAGTGGAAGGACTATGTGAAGCTGACAGCCGAGACCTGCACAACTCATGTGTTGGCGGTCGTCAGGTTACGATTGTCCATCCTCAACCTAGAAGATTGCCCCGACGGAGCAGCTTTGGACTACGACGATGAAAAGTATGAATTCCTAAAGAAGGTCGTCGGTCCAATAGCTGCAGACATCGTAGAGCAACTAGAATTGTAGTAGATTGCTGATGTTCTGTCGATGTTAAACTGCTTATGTCATTGATACTCTGTACTTCGATATATGTATAAAATTGCATCCTGTTGATGATTGTCCAAGATACTCGAGTAATTGTGCCTTAATGAAGGACTTAGTAAAAAAAGTAGTCCATCCAGTAGTCCGCATAAAAGAACTCCGGTGAACCATTGACCGAAGTCAAATATCGAAGAGTAGTTGTAGGTATGCCGAAGCAAAACCTAAGATAACCTCCCAAGAGGTAGATGCCATAGAGTCAACATGAACTCGGCAAAAGTAGTGAGCCGAAGCTCGAATAAGGGCGAACCCGTATGAAGTGTTCTCAAAATGGGTGACAATCCGGTAACAGTCTTCAGGAAAGAACCCCGGAAAGAACCCCACAATTATGTTGCGATGCCTAAGAAGGCCATATGTAGGTAACAATCCATTATGGCCTCCATAGGAGTGCCCGGAAAGAACCCCGCGTATTTGATGCAATGCCTAAAAAGGCTGCCGTATGGGTAACAATCCGTTATAGCCTCTAGAGGAGTACCCAGAAAGAAACCCCGACAAATCTATAAAGTGCCTAAAAAGGCCGTCGTATGAGTAACATCCCGTTAAGGCCTCCATTGAAGAACCCGGGAAGAACTCCGACAAATAGTAAAACACCTGAGTAGGCTGCAGCCGAATGATAATCCTGGCTTTATGAAGACACAAAGTTGATAACCAGCCAATATTGCATTTTCATATAATCATATTTTGACAAAGTATATCGACGAAACCAGAGGTTGGAGATTACAAAGCTTCATGCATAGAATTTGCGCAAATGCTCGATGTTCCATGCGTTAGAAATATCCTCTCCCTCCTTTGTCTGAAGGTAATAAGTGCCAGGTCCAACCACCTTTGAGACAATGAAAGGACCTTCCCAAGGCGACGAAAGCCTGCGTAGACCGGTAGGATTCTAAATGCGTCGGAGTACAAGATCACCGACTTGAAAAGACCTGGCCTGCACATGCTTGTCTTGATATCTGCGGATGCCTTGAAGATAGACAGCATTATGAAGCAGAGCTGAAAGTCAAGCCTCATCAGTAGTATCCACATCAAGTCTCCCTTGATGCTCAATTTGTCCCTCGTCATAATGTTGAACATGAGGAGCTCCAAAGATCATATCAATAGGCAATACTGCTTCGGAACCATAGACCAGGAAGAAAGGAGATTGCCCTGTCGCCTTGCTAGGTTGATCAAAGACACGAGCCTTGAGACCATCCAGAATCATTCCGTTGGCACGCTCGACTTGTCCGTTAGCTTGAGGATGCACCACGGATGCATAACAGACTTCAATGCCACATTGATCACAATGGGTCCAAAAAGCGTTGCTTGTAAAAGTGGTCCCCAGATCTGTGATAATGCGGTGAGGCACCCCGAAACGATATGTAATATCTTTGATGAATTGAACTGCCTTTTCTGCGCTGTGTTGTACCATCGGAAAAACTTCGATCCACTTGGAGAACTTGTCAATGGCGACATACAACCATTTGAAGCCTCCTAGAGTGGTTGGTAGTGGTCCGACCATATCAAGCCCCCAGCAATCAAAAGGCCAAGATGGAGGGATAAACTTGATCTTGTGGGCCAGAGTATGGGAATGGTGAGCGAAGTACTGACAAGACTAGCAATGTCGAACAATCTCTTCAGCATCATGCAAGGCAATCGGCCAATAGAACCCCGAGCAAAAAGCTTTCCCCATGATTGTCCTGGAAGCTGCATGATTACCGCATTCACCAGAATGAATTTCGTTGAGGATGTCAATGCCTTCTGCTCTGGAGATACACTTCATAAGAATTCCATTACGAGTACCGTGTCAATACAGAGTGTCACCAATCAAGGTGTAGAGCTTGCTGCGGCGAACAATCTGTTCGGCTTCTGGCTTCTCTTCGGGCAATTTATGGTCCCGGATGTAATCAATCAGAGGTTGCGCCCATGTCATGTCAATTTCCATGATAGGGAGACAAGCGACGGAGTTGTTTGAATCAACCGGATCGGAGACCGACGGTTTGGACAACTCATTGACGAAGGTGCCGCAGGGAACTTCAGCTCTGGAAGATCCGATCTTGGATAGAACATCTGCGGCGACGTTGTTTTCTCGTTCAACGTGATGGAACTAGAGCCCAAGGAAGTTCTTTTCAAGCTTGTGGACTTCTACGCAGTAGGCATCCATATTCTCCTTGGTCCTGTTCCAATCTTTGTTGACTTGCTTGATGATGACCATAGAATCTCCATAGACCAACAGACGCTTGATTGTGAGTGATACAGCGAGTCGCAGGCCATGGAGTAAAGCCTCGTATTCCGCCTCGTTATTGGAGATAGGAAACAGGATCTGAAGAACATATCTGAGTTGTTCTCCATTGGGGGAAATCAGAAGAACACCGGTGCTGCCTCCTTCTAGCCATAGTGAGCCATCGAAGTACATGGTCCAGTGCTCCGGCCTCGTCGTCGCAGGAGGAAGTTGATGTTGCGTCCATTCTACGATGAAATCGACGAGGGCCTATGACTTGATAGTATTACGGGGCTTAAATTCGATGGTGAAAGAACCCAATTCGACAGCCCACATGGATATGCGTCCCATGGCATCACGGTTGTGAAGAATTTCCCCAAGGGGATACTCCGTGACTACCATGATGGTGAAGTTCTGGAAGTAATGGCGCAATTTGCGAGACGTCAGCAGCACGACATAGAGGAGTTTCTGGACTTGCGGGTACCACACCTTGGAATCGGAAAGTACTTCGCTAACGAAGTAGACCGGGTGTTGTACCTTCTGAAGATGTCCGTCTTCCTCTCGCTCAATGACGATAGCAGTGCTGACAATGTTGGTAGTCGCTGCGATGTACAACAACAAATCTTCTTTCTCGATCAGAGAAGTTAGGACGGGTGGTGACGTGAGGAACTTCTTAAGATCCTCGAACGCCGCCTGAGCCTCCTCCGTCTAGACAAAGTTGTCCTGCTTCTTGAGCAGCTTGAAGAACTCCGTTCCACGTTCCCCGAGCTTGGAGATGAAACGGTTGAGAGACGCCATGCACCCAGTCAGCTTCTGAACATCCCGAGCCATCTTGGGTGGAGGCATATTCATAATAGTGGAGATCTTCTCTGGGTTTGCTTCGATCTCACGCTCGCTGACAATGAAACCGAGAAGTTTCCTAGAGGGAACAACGAAAACGCACTTGGTGGGGTTCAATTTCCTCCTGAATTTCCGAAGATTGTCGAACGTTTCAGTAAGGTCGGCGATCAAGTCGTTGGGGTTGTTTGTCTTGACCACCACATCGTTGACATAAGCTTTGACGTTACGGTGGAGTTGGGAAGCTAAGCACATCTGGATTGCCCTTTGATATGTTGCCCCGGCGTTCTTGAGCCCGAAAGACATAGTCTTGTAGCAAAAAGCTCCATAAAGGCGTGATGAAGGATGTCTTGATCTGATCCTCTTCTTTTAGGGAGATCTGGTGATACCCTGAGTAACAATCGAGGAAACAGAGTAATGTACAGCCAGCGGTGCTGTCAACTACCTGATCGATGCGAGGAAGCCCGAAGGGATCCTTCTTGCAATGCTTGTTGAGATCAGTATAATCAACACACATCCTCCATTCATTATTGTTCTTCTTGCGTACAAGTACCGGATTGGCGAGCCAATCGGGGTAGAATATTTCTTTGATGAAACCAGCAGCTAAAAGCTTGGCTTGTTCCTTCTTGATAACTTCTTTGCGGTCTTTTACAAAATGACGAAGCCACTGTTTCTTGGGTTTATCTGCGAAATCCACCTTGAGTTCGTGCTCGATCAGCTCCCTGGGCACACCGGGCATGTCCGAAGGTTGCCAAGCGAAGATATCCCGATTGCCCCGAAGGAAGATGACGAGCGCGTCTTCCTATTTTGGAGAAAGTTGCGCGTCGATGATCGCCGTCTTGGAAGAATCACCGGTGTGCAGGTCGATGGTCTTGGTGGTAACTTCGCTGGGAGGTTTCATCTTCGCAATTGCCGGCTTCTTTGTGGGGACTTCAGAATCTTCGTCCATGAGCTTGTCGGCGAGCGCGAGGACTTCTTTCTGAGTGACGTTGAAGGCAGATTGTACATCGAAATCAATAGCCTCCTTGTCACATGTGTAGGACCGTTGGAGATCACCCCTAAGGGAAAGTACTCCGTTAGGCCCAGGCATCTTCAGAAGAAGATAGACATAGTGTGGGATCGCCATGAATTTGGCGAGAGCCGGCCGTCCGAGGATGGCGTGGTAAGAAGTCTCGAAATCTGCAACCACAAACCTGACGAATTCCATGCGGTAATTATCCGTTGTCCCGAAGGTAACCGACAAGGCGATGTGCCCAAGAGGCACTACAGCAGTGCCAGGGATGATGCCATAAAATGACGAATCGGCTGGTTGAAGCGCCGTGGAGATGTCAAGCCCCATCGAAGTGAGGGTCTTGGCGAAGATAAGGTTGAGGCCGCTGCCTCCATCGATGAGGGTTCTGGTCAGCCTCTTCCCTGCCATGACAGGGTCCATGACGAGGGGGTAATGGCCTGGCGAGGAGAAGCTAGTCCATTGGTCCTGCCTAGAGAAGGTGATCGCGTATCCGACCACTTGAGCGGTGTAGGGACCGCGGGTTCAGCAGCGTAGACTTCCCTCTTGGCCTGTTTGCGCGATCTCAAAGATTACGGGATAGCCAGACCACCAAATATGACGTTGATGGTCTGGATGTTATCGGGGAACCCCTCGTCGCCCTTCCTGTCTTTGTGGTCGCCGTCGGACTTCTTTTTCCCTTGCTGTCAGAAGACCCAAAGGTGTCCCGCAAGAGGTAACAATCTTCCATGGAGTGCTTGCTATCAGGGTGATAGGGGCACTTTTTCTTGAGGAGCTTGGCGAATTCTTCCTTAGGTTGCTTGGACGACTGGGCGCCCCTGACGGACTGGAGCGTGGCGACGGTGTTGTTGGGGCCTCGCTTACGGGAGTTACCTCCGCGAGAGTCGT